TGCTGAATTTTTTGTAAATAGCTTTGTTGTAAGCTTAAAAGATCGGGTTCGGATTTTAACATTTCTGACAGAATATCCTGAAATAACTATGAAACATTTAAATAAGCATTTCTTTGGGTTAAATTAAATATGTGTATCACAAATTAAACTCCCAACATGCATTTTTAGAAGGGAAAGACGACAATGAAAGCGAGAATTGTTTTTAATCTACCGAAAATCGCTATTTCTGGAAACTGATTAATTCTAAATAAAAATCAAATAAATTCCAAATGTAAAAGAAAGAGAGAATGCTAGGTATTAAAATGGCGTATCATATCAGGAGAATCGAATGCTGCTAACGACATCTGAAGAAATAGCCGATAAAAGGTTTAGATCATTTCTTCGTTCACCTGCACTTTAATTACAAACACAACAGAACTTGTAGTTTTTGCCGTGAAACTTCAAGACTTCTATAAACTTATAGGACTCACCGTAAAACTCTCCAGAAACATTCTCTGAGGTCTATACTACAATTGTACCAAATATGGTGTCGATCCGAGGTCTGGTTTGAATTTGACAGAAATATTCTACGTTGTTGTTGATGTGATTTTTTTTTTAAGAAGGGGGGGGGGAGGTTAATTATTTATTTTATGCCTCTTTTAAACTAAGAATTGTAACTACTTCCACATCCTTAAGCCTGATTGTGACCTTCGGTCAAGGTCAAAGGTCAAAGGTCAAGGTCATTACAAAAAAAAAAAAGAAAAAAGAAAAAAAAAAGAAAAGAAAAAAGAGAAATCTTTACTTTTCTATGTTTTTACCTGATACTGGAGCTGAATGCATGTCTTACTTTTCCATTTGACCCAAGGTCAAGGTGAAAGGTCAAGGTCAAAGTTCAAGGTCATTTGGTAAATTGCCATATTTTACACATATATAAGGAATTTCTAATGTTATTAAATGACCTTGACCTTTGACCTTGACCTATATTTCAAGGTCAAAGGTCGAACATGCTCATGCAGTTGATCCCATGTCTCTAGGATACACCGTTTTAAAAAAAAGTTCATTAAATGTAAGCAGCGTAAATTTTCAGGGGCAGTAACTCATACAAGGGACCAAAGAATGCTTTCGCAATGATAGAATGAAGAGAGTACTAAATGAGTCGAAGACACTGATGAAGGTTTGGAATCTCTACGGTTTACGGTTTCGGAGGAGTAGCGATAACAAGGTTTTGTTGCACAAGGGGTGACAACTTTTGAATGGGTCAAGCTCGGGGGACAAGAATGAAATCTTTGAAATAGTTTTAGAAGGACATATTATAGATGCAAAGATATTCAGTATATGTTGAAAGACAAAAGAGATATTAAAAAAGCTAATTTTCTCATATTTTGAATGACCTTGACCTTTGACCTCTATATAAATTTCAAGGTCAAAGGTCACACATGCCAATGCTATTGATCCCATATCTCTACGATTAATCGTTTAGAAAAAAATTAATTATTCGTAACCATCAAAAACTTTCAGGGGCAATAACTAATTAAAGGGGTTTATGCAACCTTTCGCACTGAATAGATTGAAGAGTCTACTAAATTAGTCAAAGACATTAGTGAAGGTTTCGTATCTCTACAGTTTAGGGTTTCGAAGGAGTAGCGATAACAAGCTTTTATTGCGAAAGGGGTTGTAACTCCTTGAGGGGTCAAAGTTCATATACGCAGGGTCAACTGTAAAAATCTTTTACGAAGTGCATTCTTATGGACCATAAATCTTTTCGATAACTTTTAAAACAAAAAACCATTCGGCGGAAAAATAATAAAAATAATAATAATAATAATAATAATAAACAGAACAATTTCAATAGGTCTTTCCACAGAAAGGTGGAAAGACCTAATAAGTGATACTTTAAAGTTTTAACTTGTATTCTTCGTAGTTGTATAAAAAAATTTAAACAATTAAAAAAGCAGCCACTTTAAAATTATCATCAAATTGAATACTTGATGAAAAATGTGTATTTTATAGTTTTACAGAATTGTTCACTAAATGTATTCGCCCAAAGTCAGTTAAGTTGTGCTACTGACCATGAAAAAAAAAAACATCCACTATATTTTTTACCAAATACTATAGAGAACATTTTCTTTAATTTTCTGTGTGTCAAAAGATGAAAGATATCATTAAATATTAATTACAAACAGAGAAATTTATCCCCCTATACAATATACTGTAGATCATTAAATTTTTGCGACACCTTATTTTCGCGAGATAGTATTTGGTATTTATAATCGAGACAAAATTTTTACAAATTCTGAGTATTGTTGTATATAATCTATACTAATGAAAATATACAAGAGAATGAAATTTTCGCGAGTAGACTGTCTCATGTAATTACGCGAAAATAAAGTTATCGCAAATAAAAAAGTGATTTACAGTATTACGGATGAAATGTAATTTAAATCAACCAAATTCATAAATCCATTGATTATTTGGCCCTTGATAAAAATTCACAGCATTCTGAAATTGTTATGATAAATCTAATTAATGGCATCATTGATAGTTTCAAATGAATGATTTGCACTCCATATAGCTGCTGTATTAACGATAGACAGATACGAAAGCATATGGCTCACAAAAAAATGGAAATTTTGAATTCTATGCACTAAACTGGAATTTTCAAATTTCTTTGCATTTGTAGAAGACAGAAAATACACATTTTTCTTACAAAACAAAATATTTTCGATAAAGAATCACCAGTATATAATTTAAACAAGGAGAGCATCAAAGGTTAAAGGGTTTCATGGCATTAGAATTCTGTAATGTAATTCATTGTACTTTTTTGTGGCAATGAGATAGTATACAATTTTTCATTTATTAAGCATTAATCTGGTAACTGCTTTTTGATACATTATTTTTTATATTTTACTTTTGTGATATGAATCTATGAAATATATTTTAAACTAAGATTACAGTTGTCCATCAATGATTATCATACAATTTCTATTCACACTGTCAGTTTGTGACACATTTAGTTTTCTGAGAGTTTCTCAATATTTTTACATTTTAAAATACCTCATAATGAAATATTTCAAAGTGAATTTTTTTTGCAGATTATATATATACCTTACTCTTTGAAATAAAACACTCTTTTTCTTTAACAAGCACTTTAAAAATATTGTTTGTTGTTTATGACAAGAATATTTAAGATTGGCACTTCACTTAAATTAATATGAATGTTTCAGGATGGACAAAGAGGAATAACTCTATTCTGAATGATTCCTGGGATGCACAAACTCGATCAAAAGTTGTCAGGAAGGATTATGGGTAAAACTGACAAGTTCTGACACCAGCTAAAGCAGGTGATGATTAAGGGCTTTACAGTCTTCTTATAGTCTAAACCACTGTCTGAAGGAAAATCAATGAGGAATGTTTCAGAACTGGCGACTAGACAGGATTTTATTAGTCCACATCTACTCCACTTGACTTAAACTGTCACAAAAATACCTCTCAAGGAATTTAAATGAAAAATACCAAATGACAAAAAAAAGAAAAAAGAAAATTGCAAGACAGGACACGTATTTTTCATACACACCTCTATATTTAATTCGTTGATTTGAGAAATCCACCTTCTAGATATGCTGAATTTGTACTACCATTTTTTTTTGCACTTTTATGCCAGAAAATGATAAACTGTTAGCAAGAAAAACTGTTGTTGATGACAGAGGAACATGATAATGGGAAATAAACAAAAGTTCTGTGCATAATGCTACATGGAAGGAATAGTTTTAACACATCATCACAATTTTTTCTAACAGAGGTATTTCACAATTAAAAAAGTACTAATATCTAAAATTGTGTACGATGCTTGTGCCAAAAAGTCACTGACAGGTAAAACAATTTGGTTCCTCTTTCCTCACTAACTTTCTTTTCTTTTCATAAAAAGAGCCACTAAAAGGCAACATCTAATGTTCACAAATTTCAAGTTTCATATGAAAATCACCTTTTAAAAATAAGAAAATAATGTAAAAATAAAGAAAACGTAATAGTATAATTTGGTACATGAAAGCAAACACAATTTATGTGTCTAATAATGTCAAGATCATTCTCTTTCTAAATACTGGCCTTTGTGTGCAACAAACTTCTCATGGCATCTCGTTGAATTTTCAAATGCTGTACGTGAACATAAATTGGCGTATTCAAAATTTAGCGCAATCACTGGGTATGGAGTTGTTGACGAAATCATGATTTAGCACTATACATGTCCGTGCCGTATATTGTATTTATAAATGATTTCTTAGCAGTATTCATGAATTAGCGCATCGTTGTCTGCACCAAAGCCGCTAAAATATGAAGCCCCCTTTTTTAAGTACACATACAGTATACACAGTAAAATCACTCTTAACTCAGACAAGCAATAAAATTAACCACTGTATTTCTAATTTCTTGATCAGATTCAAATTTAAGTTCTTGCAAGGTCTCCTTAAGAGGCAAAAAATAAACACAGTTTTACATAGACTGTGACCTCACTTCTGAATTTTATAATCAATACTCTACAATTAGTATGTTATTTCATTACATCCCTGTGCACCAGGGATGCACTGACAACTTCATTTGCAACAGGCTCTTTTCTGTGAAAATTTAATGTATTATGCTGGTTTGATTTCTGAATTATTTGTTATAAATTTAAATTTGATGTTTTACATACAGTGTATTAACAAATGCAAATGCAATAGTAACAAATGTTACCAGGTAATTATCCTGGATTTTGAATGTGCTCTGACAGAGCATTTTGGCTTTCTTATAAATTGTCAAAGTATTTAACTATGAAAGATTTTCATTTAAGAATTCACTGTTTTAAGCGACATTTGATAAATGATAGTCATACAAAATTTGGTTAGTATTGGTCAAGTGTTTACAAAGTTAAAAACATTGCCTATGACTTTTCGGGACAACCCTCGTATATATTTAATGATTTCAAAAATGCATTACATTCCTTCATTTCTTTTCTGAACTACTTGATAAACATACACTGTACTTACCCCTGAACTGGGGTGTCGGAACTCTTCTTCATTGTTTCTATGACGACTCCTTCCTCTACAGTATCATTGCTGAGTGACTCCAGGGGGTCTGCTTTGTTGGCCCGGGGGAGGCGCTCCCTCAGTTCCTTGTTGACCTCTGGGTTGTTATACAGGTCGGTTAAATGTGCCTGGAGCCTTCCCTCTGCCTCTAGTCGTAGTTCTCTCTCTTGTTCTATTACCTTGTCTCTGTATAACAAATAAATCTAATGTTTTATATAAAACCATGGCCTTTTCTTAACATTGAATAAATATCATATATATGTCATAGTAAGAAGAAAATATACATTACATTTATTTTTATAAAAACATGGCCTTTTTTTTTAATATTGAATAAATATTGGTTCCAGTAAAGGTATTCCTTTGACATATGTTTCAAATTAACATAATTCAAATAACCATTCTTAGATTTACATAATTCAAATAATCATTCTTAAATTTACATAATTCAAATAACATTCTTAGATTTACATTATTCAAATAACCAATCTTAGATTTTTTTTACGTATAGACCTACATCTTGGTGTAGTCTACTTGTGTACCGTTTAAGTTCTTATAAACCTGAACCAAACTCTAGAAGGAGTAGCTTTTTGAGGAATTGGTTACAGATAGCTAGAAAGACAACCATATGATTACATAAGCTTTCTTTTAGTCTTTGATAAGTATAGAGCTGAAAACAATCATGTTCACTTTCTGTTTAGAAAAAATAGTAAATTAAAAACCAAACCTTCCCAAAAATTAAAATGTGGTAGCTCCAAATGCTTCAAAAGCTAGTTAAATCACAGAATGTAATTGCTAGTAACCTATCACTTTAGCAGAACTTGTTTTCTTTTCATAAGTTAAGGACTAAAGATTTAATCTAGCTTTTGATTATTTCTTATTGTGAAGTTAATTTAAGAAAGAACATGGGCCAATAAAAGGGATTTAATTTTCATTATGTTACAATACACACTATCAATAGGATATACAGAATAAAAGATAAACTCTAATGAAATAACAACAATAATATAAAAAGTTGTAGTTCCTATGGGATTATCTAAGATTATGTTTTAATGCAATCTGTTTGGTTTAGAACAGCAACAACACTGTCATAATCCATGAATTCATTAATCCACTGAATATAAAAACTTTATAGGTCATTTCTATTACCTTCTATCTGTACTGAAAAATGCCCAGCTTAAAAAATGAAAAAGAGATTAACCGACTCAATTTAATTTTGTATGTCCTTCTTGCCATTGTTTAATGACCTAAGTGAGTTACATACGTTTACTATGTAATGCATAACTGAACAAATAGTACACTACATTAATTACAGAACATTATAACAAAATGAAATAAAAAAGAGACTTTAAGGACAGTTCAAGCTATAAACACTACAGAGACAACACCAATATGCTAATGTAACACACACAACCACAAAAATTGTGTTCATATCATTTTTCCAAGTATGCTTTACCTAATGTCTTTTAATGGTTATAAGCAAATAATATTCTTGTTAAGAAAATCCAAATATACTGGGAATACACGCATCAGTATAAAAACATGATGGAAATTCACATTAACAAATTTGCCTCCATAAAATCTAAAAAATAAAAAAAAATCAATTTCACACACATATGTTGCCTGAAAAAGGGCATGGTATTGACATCAGGACTATTGATTCAGAATGCAAAGCAGAAACATAAAAAAAACCTTTGATACGTAGAGATACAACATATATTGACAAATTTATTAAAAAAAAAAAAGTAGTCTAAATAAATAAATTTCAAAGCCTAAACATTAAGAGATACATAAACAAGAAACTGTGAATATTTTCTAATAGTTGAGTTATAAATAAAAATTGTGAGTGACCTGTTCTCATTAATGAATCAGTATAATCCAGAAGATTAAACATTCTCTGCAGTTCGTACTATTCTGGTTTGCACCACATGCATATCAATGGTAGGATTACAATGACCCAATTAATCTATGAATAATGCTTCTAGAATATGTCTAGTAAAGATTATATTCTATATACACATTTAAAAGAGAAATCCCATGAAATAATAATTAGGTTACCTTTCATAGAATATGAAATGAATACCTTTGCTAGAATTTCAAATGACAAACTCGAGTCGTGCATCCAGAGAATAATTAGGAAAATCAATATTAAAGGCAACGTGACCAGATTCAGGGATATTTTCCTGATCAAAAGTCAACTACATCATGAATATATTTGCAATCTGTTTCTTTATTAACAGGGTATCCTTTGCTTTTATTCCCTGTGTGCCTTGTACAAGTAGCTAACCTAATCTTGTATGAAATTCATTAAGAATTTAACTAGGGGAGCTATTACAATGGTAAATAGTGTGTGATGAAATTGCAGGCCTGATAACTACAATATTATAGTAATATTTTAATTATTTGAATATGCATGCGTTCAAGATACATGTAAATCTTGGGGGATGGGGGCTAATTTACTTTTCTTTGTTTTCAATAGGCATAAGAGCAAATCAAACCTCTTAACAAAAATGATCAGCTTGAATTGCTTCTCCAATATTGGGAGTGACTTGGACAATGAGCTACTTGCCCATAATTTTGAAATATTTGGACAATAATAAAAAAATGCTTTGAAAAATTAAATTATGACCCCTCTGGCCTCAAAGATTCAAAATGATCTGAAAATGACCATAGTTGCAACTCACCCCTGTCTATCACTGCCTTCCGTTAACTGTCACAAAAATAATTCAGGATGGAATGCATTAAAAAGGGTGAGGTCACTTTTTTTGGATTAAATAATATGTAAATGATTGGTCATATTCAAATTGTTAAAGTCAAACTTACACAATAAAAATACTTGGGCACACAACTTAATCAATGTTACTTTGCATATAATGTTGTCAGTAAAGATTATATTCTTATAATCCTTCCTCCAAGTTCTCAAAACAATTTTTCTACAAAACTAATCAATTGTTCCATACAGCAAAAAAAAAAAAAAAAAAAAAAAAAAAACCTTTTTCAATTTCTTGTAATTTCATTATGAACATATTATTTTCTGGACACCTTTCTCCAAAATTTCAATATGTGCTATCATAATTTTTAGATGCATTGTGAAAAGACAGGCAGACAAAAGTAAAGCTAAATTGTAGTTGCACAGACACCAACAATTAGAAATAAGAAAGTGCCAGAATTTTTTTTAAAAACATTCCTGTTATGTAAATAATGTTAAACAGCTCTTCAATCAAGAAAAATGTTTTAAGAATTTATATTATCACTATGATGCAAATTAAATATAACCTCCTTTATCGTTTTCCAATACCCATAATGTATTATATTATGAGATCAATCCATAAAAGATTTTTTCTTTGACAGTTTAACAACAGTTAGTCTATTCATTACAGAATATATGCACATCAAAGATGTACCACACACCTGTCATCAATTTCATCTTGTAAATCCACTAATTTCAACCTAGTATTTTCCTTAGCTCTGCGAAACTCGCTGATCAATTTCTTGTCATAATCATTCATTAATTTTTTAGCCTTTTCAGGCGTTCTGTCTAGTTTTCTGTGATATCTAATTTCTGGAATCCTATCAAAATCTCCCTCATCCTCCATCTTGAATCCTGTGTAAACTGACACTGCATCATGGGAAATTCTAATATTCAAACTGACACTATGAAATCGATTATTCCGGAAAGGGGAGATCACAGGTGTTCGCATTTTACCGAAATTTTTAGTAAACTAAAAAAAAGTGTTATTATTATAGGTATTACGTTTTTTTTATTATTATTTATTTACTAAAAATTTCGGTAAAATTGATAGGTATGCGAACTCCTCTGATTAGATTTTTTAAAAATTAATGGACCCCAAGTAATTCGGAGGTCATAATTTGAAGGACTGATTTATTCAAGAATGGTTAGCAGGGTTAGTCCTTTTAGCTTATTTTGAATAAACTTTAACTGTTCAATGATGGCATTCTATCCATCTATGCGCAACGTAAAATAATGCATAATGCATTAAAAAATTACACACATGTACACTGACAGGTAAGATATTGATACATGTGCATTTTTTTTTATATACAAGAATAGATATCATGGGTCATTAAAATATCACTTACATTTCATCACCTTACATACGGCAATCTTATTATGAAGTTATTCCATCAAGACGACATAAAAGTCCAAACGTGACTAATTTGTCGATTAATTACACCTCGGATAGCCCTTCCCTCGGCATGTATCTACACAACTTTCTTGTGCATTTAACTGCAAAGTTTATTGTTCTTATTGCACAATGTACAACAAAGAAGAAGTTTACTATCGAAAACGTGCTTTGTTATTTTTTAAAAGGTCCATTGAGCGCCCTAACGGAAAACCAAATCTCCTAAGTGTTGTCAATTGAAAAATTAGATTTTTAAAAATGTGTATATATCTTTGGTTCTTTAATATGAACAAACGTTCTTTTTTGCTATACACAATGACAGAATCTTTTAAGGGACAATGGTGCTCTTAAATCTTATGTAAATACCTACATTTGATGTAAATTAATCATTTTCTCTCTATTAGTATACTTTACAGAAAAAAAACTTATCAGAGAGCACTGGAACTTAAAAATGCCTGAATAACATACCGGTATTTAAGGATACACCAAATGCTTTTTTCAAGATTTTCAACAATTTTGAGATTTTTGGCTAAGAAAAAGAAGTAAATCACTGCTTTATAATGCATGTTAAATTCTAGGTAGTTATGAAATGGTTTTCTAATTATTGAACAATAATGAAACATAAACACTACCACATGTGAATGTTCCGTTATTGAAGCTTCTGATTTGATCTGTGACTGCCTGTTCATGAAAGACACAATAAATCACTGTGACCACTTGGGGAATTCTTCACTAGCCACACAGAGGTTATCAGTAATTAAACTACAGGGACTCTAGATTTAGAGAAGGAGATCTAACAGATCACTGATGACCATAAAATAGGAGGTGGAGCTTAGCTCTTGCCATTTTGCCGGGAAATCTTTCTGATTCAGAATTGAACCTATTTTACTTAATTAAAAGCATCTAAATACAGAAAAGAACCTCCCATTCTTGTGAATATGCATGGGAAATATGGTTAAGTGACAGGTTTCCAAAGCTGAATCTCCAAGGTGTCATATATTCCCAGCTTTGGCAGATTTTGTTGTGTAATGGGTTTTGTCCTCTACTGTAAAGTAAGATCAGACAGTTTGTGGTATTATTTCAAAGGATTCAGCACCCTTATTTATTGACCAATTTCTCTGAAAATTGGATAGGTTGCTTCTCAAATGTGTGTTTACAAAACCGTATCTCAGATTTTTGATATCTAGCTTAGTTTTGGAATTATTGAGGGAAATGTTAAATTAGGCTAATAAATTGGTAACTTTGAAGGGCAAATGGCTGTAACTTTTGAATTAGAGGATTTATCAGAAATCTGAGATACAGTTTTTAAGTTCAATCTTTAATCTATCTTGAGGCAAAATTACCACTTTGAGGGGTTAAATACAAAAAAGTTGATTTATAAAATATCTATGCACTAAAATTTACATTAATATTTAAATAATTTTTAAATAAGTTATATATACTTTTATTATGTTATCTTTGATAATGAAAGAATTACATGCAAATTAAATTTGGGCATTTGGAAACCTTTGGTGTATCCTTAGGTTGACCTACAATATGCCATATATAAATTCAGCACACTGTGACAATATTTAAATTCTTCTCTCTAAAAATGGTGGATTTTGGTTACTTTCATTAAGATTAACTGATCCAAAGGCTAATCGCATTGATAACTTGTATGTCCCATCAACTTGGCACAAATAACTGAAAGACAGCAATAAGTTAAAACCTTATCGTGCAAGTGAACTAAAGATATATATAAAATCCGTATGTACTTGGTCATGGCTAAAAGAAAGTGCGATTTTAACAAATGTTAAACATATAATTATTATCATGATGATTTCTTTCTAAGTAGCTAGATATTCTATTTGTATTCAGAGACTCAAGTTTCCTATAACTTATCACCATGCATGAAAAGTCCGTGTACACACATTTCCTAGGTTGGAAAATGTCTATCGTCCATCAACACAATTCATTTAACTCGTTCTGTGCACTTAAAAACTTAAAAATCAAAATTGAATGATTCAGATGAAATGTTTTCAATCACTAGATGACCTCAATATTTCAATGCCTCGGTAAATCTGTATATCTGCGGGATAGTGCGAGCTGTGCACACTCCTATATCCATATCCTGGTCCAGGATGACAAATTTGGGAAAATTTGTTTTGATAAAAATTAAAAAAAAAAATTTCGTCCATTGCTCAATTTGTCAGAGGGCATTGACATTTATCAGGTATATATATAAAGGAAGTTCCAATAACATATAGCTAAATGTATGTAGCAATATCATTCTATAGATATTGTGTGCTTATTTGTGTCAGACAGAGAGATAAACAGAAGGTTAAAAGGTAAGACCTTTCCTTTTATAACCTTATTACTAGTCATTATTTTCCAAATTCAGACAGGTGTAAAACTTGCAAAGATAAAGTATCATGAAGTAATTATCATTTTTATGTCCTAGAGATCCACGAAAACAAAAAACTCAGCAATTGTAGAAATGTAAACATCTAGTAATGTTAACATCTAAAAAAAAATGTAGATATTCAGTTCTCAATATTAACGTATAAACATCTAGTGATTAACATTATGAAATGTAAACATCTAGTAATGTTAACATCTAAAAAAAATGTAGATATTCAGTTCTCAATATTAACGTATAAACATCTAGTGATTAACATTATGAAATGTAAACATCTAGTAATGTTAACATCTAAAAAAAATGTAGATATTCAGTTCTCAATATTAACTTATAAACATCTAGTGATTAACATTATGAAATGTAAACATCTAGTAATGTTAACATCTAAAAAAAATGTAGATATTCAGTTCTCAATATTAAAGTATAAACATCTAGTGATTAACATTATGAAATGTAAACATCTAGTAATGTTAACATCTAAAAAATATATAGATATTCAGTTCTCAATATTAACGTATAAACATCTAGTGATTAACATTATGAAATGTAAACATCTAGTACTGTAACACATAGAAGTGTAAAAATCTAGTAAAAGGAGGTGGGTGAACATAGCGTGCAGAAAGCCTATAGCTTCAGATAAATAAAAATCATGTTCAGTTTGTGAATTTAGTATTTAGAGTAAAGTTCTCATTATTGAAGTTAATGAAACTATCATAAACAAAACTTTTCTGCGGATAATTTTCTCGGTAAAATTTATTCCTTTATTAAAAGTTAATGTGGTATTTGAGGGGTTCGAACCATAGCATTAAAAACCCTAAGTATCATTTTCTTTCGAGACTAGCACGCTAACCACTAGACTACACATGTCCTGATGAATAGTGGCATTTAAATCAGGTTTGTGATATGACCCTTGACTTAATGGACTTCAAGTATTTCTCGAAAAACTGCGAATGTTATGTCTTAAAAGTATATTTTTAAGGTATAGTGGGTCATTGCTCCATATTTTTGGTAATCAAAAAATGTATATTTTTATGCAAACTTTGAGGATTAACTTTTAAAAAAAATGGAGCTAAGACCCACTCATATCGAAAAATAGTGTTTTAGTATGAGAAAATGACTTTTTTTGCCCTCTTTGGTGTGTGTATAATATTTCATGGGCAAATAATTTCAATCTTTTAGAGATTTTTGCAAATTGTAGAGATTTAACATAAAGAATATTTTAATGTTAGATGAAATATCAAGGAAAATTTTGATATAATTGAGATTCATTTTTTCATCTTCATGTTTGTCACACTATAGGCTTTTCGCTCGACATGTTCACCCATCCTCTTTGCAGCTAGATTCTCTGACTGTGTCAAGTATGAGGGGCCGTTTTGGTATTCACTGTCACTGAGTGATATCACCTATTCCATTGGTAATATCACCTATTCGAAATAAGTAGGTGATATATACCACCTATTCAACTCTAATGAGTGATATCACTTTTTTGAATAGATGATATCCCTTATTGATTAGGTGATATCATGATATCACTTAATGGAAACAAATATCAAAACGGTGCAATGTCAAATCATATTAACTAAGATTTCTCAATTTATGCCAAATTCGTTACAAACAATAAGCCACTTAGGCCAAGCTCTACATGTAAACGTGGATGCTTAAATTGAATCTGTAGTTTTCTTCAACTATAGCCTCCTTAATCATTATTCCGTCATGCATGGGACTTTGCTGATTAACAGAAACAAGTTTCTTTGACAATTACGATACAGGAGGATGTCAAAAACTGAACAAATACAATACTTGACTGTACGCAAATCATCAAACTAATAAACTGAGAGTATAAAATGTAAAATATATAGCAAAACACACGTATAGCATTATCATCGTTAATATGCTATCAAAGAATTGTTTCTATTGCAGATATGATTAAGCGATTTGAGAATCTACTCTATCTTTGCCTGACGTTGATGATGGCCAATGAATCATTTCCGTGGGACCCTGACGCCGGATTAGTAACGTCATGGACTAAATATCCCAGGGCTAGGGTAACAGCTTCGTCTTCCACCGGTACGTCGGACCCGCATTCCGTCATCGACGATAACGACAACACACAGTGGGCGTCCGGAAGCTGTCTTCCTAGTGGCTTTGTTAGTGACCCGGAACAAAACATTTTGCATGGTCTATGTCAGAATAAAAATCACTGTACCGTGTCAGACAGCCTGGATGTTTACAAAGCAACTGATGGCGATCCATCTTACACAGCAGCAACAATTAATCCGTCACAAAGTTCACCGGAAGCCAAATTAGTTATAAGCATACCAAATCCTCAACCGGTAAGCTTTTTGACCGTGTGGGGAATCTACAGTCATGGAGCAACCGAGTTGTCCCTGATTGACAATAACAACATTCGCCATAGTATCAGAACTTTGACATCCATTGATAACTACAAACAAATTTCATTCAGCAACATTACATACCCTGTCGCTCGAGTTGAATTTGTTTCTACACAGAAGTTTCAAATCCGAGAGGTCGCTGGACTTGGAACTAAGGGTTGTGTTGCCAAATTAACCCTTGACCTTGGAGAAACTCGTATGATACAGACGATTCGATCACGGCACTGGGCAGGACCAGGAACTGCTTCAGCCTTAAGATTAAAGACTTCTGAATTCGGGAATTCCTGGATGTCGGTAGATTTAGACCCTGACGCAATCAACGCGGTAGTCACAAGATTACCATCTTTAGTTAGAGGTCGTTATATTGTTTTTGAATATACTCTTATTCAGAAACCGTACAGTAAGGTATACCTCTGGGAGGTTGACGCTTGGGATGAAAATTCTGTCTGGGGAATCAGACTTCCATCTAAGCCACAGCAAAACACCATGAGGTCATTGCTTGGCGTCAACGGAATATGGGGCTGGGGAAACAATAAATACAGTTCATCGTTAAAATCTGGAGAGGGGCCAGATCTCTACAACAAGGTAGCATCCCATGCTAGAAACTATCATAACATGGACTGGGATGTACTAGATCCCGATAATGATCCAGAATACTCCAAAATGGCGTCCGGCGGTGGGACGAATGCAAAGTCATGGCTGAACTGGGACACAGAGTACAAAGCATGGCGAAATGCCAGTCTTAAGATCGACGTGTCTGTCCAATTCAGCAATTTCCAGCAAGCTAGATGGGATAATCCACAGACATCTGCTTATAACTATGGGAAACAGTTCGCCAAACACTTTGGTCCTGTGGTTGGCAATGGTGTAATTGACGCAGTGGAGGTGGGTAATGAACCATGGTCATACGATGCTGTATTCTATATGAACCTGCTTCAGAGTATGTCGGCAGGAATACGAAGTGTAGACGATCAAATAAAAGTACTCCCCGGAGCATTTCAGGCCCACGAAAAGAGAGCAGTAAATAACTACATAGGAACTCGAATAAATCATCAGATAGCCAAGAACCTCAGTGCCATTAACTTTCATACGTACAGTTATGTCTCCAGCTTTACTGGAGCGAGGGTAGGTGTTCACCCTGAGCACCCCGAGTCTTCGTTTAACAGCCTAAGAAACATGGTAAGATGGCGGGATACTAACCTCCCCAGTCACCCGTTATGGGTGACAGAGTGGGGATGGGACGCACCGACTGCGGGAGAAAATTGTCCATTTTCAGAATGTGTGACAGAAGCTGAACAAGCTGTGTATGGAGTCAGAGGACTATTAATCTTGTCCAGGTCGGTTGTGGACAGGGTTACTTGGTTTTTCTATGCCAATACTAAGTGTGAACATCTCTATTGCCGAAGTGGTCTTACAAGTTCTCCTACGACTGGGTTCACCAAACGACCCGTTTTCCAGGCCTTTAAGGCTCTACTGGACTTTCTTGGCGATCTCTATTTCCAGTACACGCTAAACGAAAGTAAAGAGAGCTACATTTATCTCTTTGGAGACAAAATTCAACATCAGGGACCATCTGATGAGGAGATTAAAGTCAGAGGAGCCAAGTATATGGTTATGTGGAAACCGGAAACACTTCAAGGTGGCGGAGTCACGCCTCTTTTCTACGTGTTTCCACGTGGCACACATCCGATTCAAGCAATAAGATTCACCGGAAATGATACACCGTATACTAACGAACCGCTTGCATATCAGCCAGGTATTCAAGGTAGTCTTACTTTGAATGTGACGTCATTTCCTGTTCTTGTAGAACTTTCACATAATCCAGTCGCACCAGTAGTTGGATTCTAGTCAGCACTGTACCATTCAAACACGTTACAAAAAAGTATAAAATTAACTAACATGTATGTATAGTCAAAAATTTTGTGTTTATTCTTCTATATTCTTTTATAATATATGCAAGCCTACTCAATTGTAATTCCTGGTACAATAAAACTGCTAGATAGATGCGAACTGGAATATATCGTCATTTTACATTCAGAATGGGCGATAAAAAATTAAATGTTACGGACACACCGCTAACATTTTTCTTCTCTAAAACAATAGAAAACAAGGAATACACCTGTGAAGTTTAAAACCCCAAGCACCAATTGTTCAAAAGTTATGGCCAAGGTTAAAGTTTTTCAAAAGTAGGTCAAACTCCAAGGTCAAAAGGTCAAAGTTGTTGGTATCCAAAGGAAGGCCTTGTCACAAAGAATACACATGTGAAGTTTGAAACCCCAAGCACCAACGGTTCAGAAGTTATGGCCAAGGTCAAAGTCTCATAAAATTTTGCAAAAGTGGGTCAAACTCCAAGGTCAAAAGGTCAAATATAGTACCAAAGAAAAGTCTTGTCACAAGGAATACACATGTGAAATATGAAAGTCATAGCTCCAACCAATCAAAAGTTATGGGCATGGTTAATGTTGACAACGGACAGACAGACAAACAGACAGACAGGACAAAAACAATATACCCCCGGGATCTTTCGATCCGGGGGCATAAAAATCTAGATGAAGTTTTACAAAGCAAAAGACAAACGTTACCTTACTCTATCCACAGCATAGGAGCACCTGTCAGAGACCTGATAACGGGTTTCTATGTTCTCCATTCAAGCTATATCTAATATGTGACTTGTCTTTTATCAAATACAAAATTTCTCATATAGTGCCGCCTAACTTTCTATTACGTGATGGTGATATCACTCAATAAACATGAGCTGTATAGTCTAACGATGTAATCAATTTATTATTCTAAAGATTACATAAATTTTGTTTTGAGATCACGAGCTTTAACCAGTTAACAGAATGGACAAAAGGAATGATACAAAATGACACTATGCATCTGCTGAAAATATTAACAAAATGATAAAATTCTATGTAATATGGACTCAGTTAATTTCCAGCAAAGACTCTGATACATGCGTGACCGATTTTAGCACTATTCTTCGAGGAAGTGGTTCTCCATAATTCGTAGCCCAGTCACGTGGCTTTCGCTTCCGGTTCCTGTCTTTCATTTCTTTCACCAGTTGTTGTAAACCGCGTTCTCTATCATGTATAGAAATTCTGGCGTGCGGCGATAACTTTGGTAGCTCATCTTGTTCGTCGAATACAGACTTTCTGCTAGGCGGGCGTACTTTTGAGCAACGACTCAATAAAGTATCATAGTTTCTTAATACCGAAAAGCTCTTCTCTCTTTCAGTGATTCCAATTGCGTGATAAGTAACTGGTAGATAACATGGAAAGTAATGACACCTGCTGTCATTACAGTACAGGCACTCGCCACGACCACCCATCGACAAATCACTCTTCGAAGGGGTAGAACAGCCTAGAAATCTGGGTCTAGGTAAAACCGGAAGTTCTGGAGATTTTCTGTTCTGGGTTTCCAGTGGCAATCTCGTAACTTGGTTATCTTCCTCTTCCATCTTTTTTACTTGATCTTCAATGAACGTGGTCTCCCTCTCTATTTCTCTGCTTTCCCTCAAAAAGTGTTTGTTCAAAGCTTTTAGTTGTCCATCCAGCCGAATTTTGGCCACTCTGAGGAGTTTCTTGGTGCGTCGTGATGCCATCTGTTCTCGTTTGTGCATTTTTGCGTTCCTGTCCATGACTTCTCTTTGTACAGCAGGTCTATTAGAACACTGACTGAAATAGTATTTTTTCAAAACATCAATTTAAAGAAATGGTTTTCAATTTGAAAAAAAGAAAAGATTTTTGGATGATATCCGAATATATATTTAATAATAATAATAAAATATTTATAATAGAAGTACATATACCTGACCGTCGGAGCAAAGCAATGCTAGAAAAATAATTCTAAAACTTACGACTTAATTTTTGTTCGACTCAAAGACTCCACAGATAGACTACTTTTTTCTCTGCTGGTTAATCCATCTCTAACAGTTGAAAAACTAGAAGACAATAATGTAGATCTGTGAGTTGTTATACGAGATCTTCCCGAGATCTGTGAGGGAGAGATTTCCTCGGGGCTCATTGTCATAAATTTAACACTTGTTTATCTACGAGTCCTCCAACACGGTAAGTCTTATGTAACAAGCATTAGCATCGGGATAAACAAATCTGATATGAATCTTCATAACAAACGACATCACAAAAGATTCGACGTCATCAGCAGTGTATCACATAAAAAATCAATAGATTCTATCTCGCAAACAGTTCCGGTGATTTGTGTTTTTCACCAGATACACTATCTACCGGAGTTAGGTGTACCACTGAGTCTACTACCCCAAAACAAAGTCTTTCAGAAATCTCATAGACTATAACGAATTGTAGCTGAATTGTATGACGACTTTACGAACTGTGTAGAACACAATAGAATTTAAATGTTCAGCTGAACAAATGTTTTAGCTGTCTTTAGTGAGCCCTTCGTTTGACAGTTAGAGACCTTTAGAATTTTGTCCCGACTAAGCGAACATTAAACTGAAATTTCTTTTGAAAATATTTTCTTGTCTCCTCTCTGCAAAACATTTTAAGCTTTTTTTTTTTTAAACTTTCGCCTTTTTAATTGAAATTCTGAGCCGACATTTATAGAATAAAAAAAAATGATGATATGTAAATGTATTTTAATGAAAGGAATACATGTATAAGAAGAAGGTAATACATTTATAACATTTCTTGTTTAAATTTAAATTTCTATGAGAGAGAAGAAAATTGACAAATTATGTTTCCTTAAGAATTACTTTCTTATTGTCTAGATTAAGTTCATGAGAACAAACTTACCCTTATCATATCGTGTATGCAACTGATGAAATGGATATACACAAATATATTATACCCTAGTTGTTTGACAACAAAAACCCTTAGAAATAGCGACGGATCAAATATAATGCCACTGTTTATATAATTAAGCCACTAGTCCATCACGTTAGGTGCAGTATTTGTAAAGCGTTCCTGTGCATTCAAAACTTTCATTAAAAAAAATACCGGGGTTTATTTATTCATATTTTTTGTTGGACAACGGCACGAAAATTGACAGCGTAAAGAAATTCATTTGGCCTAGCCTTTAATAGAATAAAAACACGACCTACTTCTGTATGAAATGTTTGTTGAAATAAAATAGTTTATAACTTACCAGTGATTCGGTATATTATGACATCATTATGACAGCATGCACTGTGACGTCAACATTAATGGCTCGCGTACACTTAGAAAAAAAATTATTAACCCCCCCCCCCAAAAAAAAAACTATGGTGTTGTACCATTTTTATGCCCCCGTATCGAAGATTCGGGGGTATATAGATTTTGCCCTGTCCGTCCGCCTGTCTGTCTGTTTGTCTGTTTATCTGTTTGTCCGCAAAAACTTTAACATTGCTCATAACTTTTGATTGGTTGGAGCTATGGCTTTCATATTTCATATGTGTATTCCTTGTGACATGACCTTTCTTTGGGTACCATCATATTTGACCTTTTGACCTTGACCTTGGAGTTTGACCCAGTTTTACAAAAATTTTCCCCACATTAACCTTGGCCACAACTTTTGAACGGTTGGTGCTAGGGCTTTCATTCTTCACATATGTAATCCATGTGACAAGACCTTTCTTTGGATACCAACAACTTTGACCCTTTGACCCTGACCTTGGAGTTTGACCTACTTTTTGAAAACTTTAACCCTGGCCATAAATTTTGAACTATTAGTGCTAGGGCTTTCATTCCTCTCATGTGTAATCCTTGTGACAAGACCTTTATTTATAGCCCATTGACCTTGACCTTGATGTTTGACTCACTTTTGGAATACTTTAACCTTTTCCTTATCTTTTCAATGGTTGCTGCTAGGGCTTTCATATTTCACAGGTATATTCCTCGGTACAAGACCTTACTTTGGGTACCAATATATTTGATTTGCATTTGAGAAAGTGTAACCTTCGCTATAAATTGCCATACGGGGGCATCAGTGTTTCACAAACACATCTTGTGTCTATGTGTTATCTGATGCCAATGTCAATGCCAAGATTTTAATTTTTTTATGTCACTACCCTAACTCCGTCACTTTCGGGACACTCCGCGCTGTTTGTATACGAAATATGACTGTGACGTCATTTTTTGCTCATTTTTCACATGTCAGCAATTTTTATGAAGGTCTGTCTCAAAGGTTTATTTTTTGTCAAAATTTTACCTAACTAGATGAAATCCCGCGCAAGCGCGGGGATTTGAATTTATACTGCTACTACAGACAGAAAATATTTTGTATTTTCTACTGACAGCCTACATGCTTATAGCAGGAAGAAATACTTGTTCAAAAACCCGCATGAAGTAGATGTACGTCTCCATCCCCCACCCCTTTGTAAAAACTTGAAAATTAACAATTTCATTAATTGATGTTTTTTGTGAAACCTGTTATACCATCTTATGGATATTGTACTTCACATGCTCTTATTTCATTTCCGTCAAGGATAAAAGCAGTGAATATTCACATTTTACCGATAAATTGATTTGGGGGGAGGGGGTGTTAAAATTCACAGGTACTTGGGTCTTGGTTTATAAATATATTTGTACCTAACTGATATGTAAATAATGTACTTTATTTTTTTTTACATATCAATAAGGTACATACATATTTATAAACCAAGACTCAAGTACCTGTGTAAAATTAGCTTTTAACGCCCTATAAATAGGCCGAGTATTTGATACAAAAGACTGTTTTCAGAAGGAAAAAAATGAAATGTATTGATTAAAACACAAAATTTTACATCTTTAAATGTTTTTGAACAATACCTTATTCATTAATTTTCTCTTTACATGTAAGCAAGTTTATTACGAAGTACAAATAGTACTCCGGGTTCGTTGCCACGATGCTCTCAGTAAGGAATATATATATATATATATATATATATATATATATATATATATATATATATATATATATATATATATATATATATATATATATATATGTATATATATACATACACACACACACAAATTTTACCGATAAATTTATTAGGAAAATCTACTACATACATGAATATATTATATATGTATAGTCTTTGAATATATATATATATATATATATATATATATATATATATATATATATATATATATATATATATATATATATATATATATATATATATATATATATATATATATATATATATATAGTGTTATCAATGATTTACCATTATTTCACTGACCAATCACAAAAAAGCCTTTTTATGTTATGCATCTATAAGCGCCTCGTTTTTTTTAACATCGGGCTCGATGCTATATAATGTTCTAGAAGCTTCCGTCAATATTACGATCGGTGAATGACGAAAATAATTTGCACATTTCCCTTTTTAATCGGTTATCACAATTTATTTCTTTTATATCATTTAAATCAAGTTTTGATTGAATAATTCAATGATGACGTTTTATGAAATAAATAAACGATTGCTTGTTGCCAGTTTCATTAAAAATTGCCAGTAACTTAGATCCGCCAACCGGAAACGCCACCGTACTCACGTTTTTGCTATTTCATGGCTGTTTATAGAAAATAAAAGTAGATTTTTAATTTAATGTACGATACTTCCTATGCGAGCGAAATCTAAATATAGTTTACGGACATCATCTTGTATCTAGAGTGTATTGTTAGAGGAGTAAGTAAGAACTCTGGTGCACCCGTTTCGGAGTTTATTTGGAAAATTTATTAATTTATAAGTATAGATACACAACACATGGAGAAAACGTTACACCATATTATAATTACATATAAATACGTTATACCAGTATTAACGTTATTTAATACTATTTTAAATCTTAAAACCTATTTTTCTTTTTGTTTACACATTTAAAAAAAGGACAATAACTGAACTGGGAAAATAATATTTTAAATACGTAGGCATATTTTAGAGGCCCTGGTGACGGAGTTAGGGTTCATTGGACGTACAGGTAATGTACGCGTACGTAACATACGTTTTACTTAGTGGTGTTACATAAGCCCACTAACTGCTCTTTTTGTTAAAAGTTTAAGTTCATTACTAAGTGTACAATGTTTAAGTTCATTACTATAAATGTAGCAAACAAAGAAACAAATCAAAAAAATAATTCGGAGAGTGACGAGAGGTGTTTTCCGCTTATGGTGACGGAGTTTGGGTACTCATGGATATTATCTGTATTTTTTCTTCTTCACTTTTTCAATACAAATGCAAACAGCTATTTTTTATGTCAAAATGAATAACATATAAAGAGAACAAAATCAGGTCAGAAAGAGCTCTTCTCCCCGCTATATAACAATTCAGAGTTGTCTCTCTTTTCTTATAAAGAACGGGGGCGCATTCGGCGGGACTATATATGGGCGCACTTGAAAAGTGAATTTCATTGACCAGTCACTTGAAACTTTAGCATTCTTTTGATGTATCGGGTTCCTGTGAAACAAGAAAGATATTTTGTATCTTGTGCTTGATTCATTTGGTACAAAATATTATATTTTTACACGTTTTTCTAAAAATTTGCTAACTCTTGGTCACCTCTCCATGATTTTGAAACATTATTTGCGTGCATTTTATGTCAATGAAAGGAGCAAGCATTTGTGTAAAAAAAAAAAAATGAGAGAAGACCCAGAGACCATAAAAATGAACTTTTTCAAAAAATAAAAAATCCCATTGTGTAAATGCTGTGTTTCATTATCGTTTAAAATTCCATATTGTGTGTGTAGTGGTGATAGCTCAGTAATATGCGTTAACCGTCCAGTGCAGTGGAATCGAAAAGTTTTATTATTTTATGCAAACAATCAATTCTTTTGTCAGTTTAATTTTATGTTTTATTAAAATTTTAAAATACATTGAAACTGATGAGTGCAGTGTATTCGTAGGGTATTGATATAATGAATAGACCCGGTACACGTATTATGATAAAATACCGTAAAAAGAGAAAGTTCAAGGGTCAACATTTCTTATACTACAGTAATCTTCAGATTGTAATTCTGAGATTTCGTATATTTACACATATTACATATTGTACCCCATTTTTCCCCACTGTTATGTTTTAAAATTA